GAAATTCAAACACCTGGAGAATTTAAGAGCAGCTAGCTTCCAGAGTCTTAGTATGAATTCAAAGGACCAAATGACAATGCATGCATACCACAGGCAGAGGGGGTGTGCATGGGAGACGGCTCGGGCCCTGGGTCTGTTTACCGCGTGGGTGGGTTCTCACGGCTGTGTTGTTGGCGCATTTCCCGGATCGCCGCCCCCACTCGCCATGGGGGTGCGGCTAGATTGGCTCATTGAGGCACATGCAGCACACCTGATCTGAACTTCCCCATTCCAGGGAAATTAGCTTTAGGATTAGGATGAAGTTTAGGTTTAAGGCTAAATTTGAGGTCAGAGTTGTGGAGTTAATGTCAGGAGAATGTTAGGGGTTCAGATTTAGATCTGCGTTAACTGTAGGATTTAGAATTAGGATAGGGTTGGGCTGGCGTTAAAATTTGGGTTTCAGTTTAGTTTTATGTTCGGGTTACTCTTGCTTTCAAGACACGGGAATATTTACTTTGCCTGAAATCTATCACAATGCCATCTAGTGTAAGTGGGTGGGGCGTTCCTATTCTAGTGCCTTGTATAGGCGGCCATACAGGTCATCGTCACACTCGTCTTTCACGTACTATTTACTGGTTTTACTCCTGCTCCCACGTAAGTAAACTCAGTCTAGGACAGTTATTAAGACGACATTGATGTTAATATTTTGCCTTATAACAATTCTTGGAAGCATATTCTTACTGAAAAAGGACAGTTTCCGGAATTTGGTAGCCGAAAGAGCAGACGGAAAAAATCCCAAAGAGTTTTTTCACTGTCTGCTCTTTTTTCTTGCTTTTTTCCACTTTAGTGGCTCGTATAATTTGGCATCGTCAGTAAGCTGGGGCACCATTTTCTAGTGTCACAACACGAATATACATAAATAGGGAGTTCCGAGGTACACACCTACATTTCCCCCAAACAAAATGAGCTTAACTGAACCGAATTAGCGAAATGCATAACATATTGGCTATCCTGACAGAATCACTATGTTTCAGGAGTTTGCTAACTCATGTGCTTGGCTCCCGTATGAGCCTGACGCAACAGAACTTCTTCTGTTGGAGAAAGAGTGTCAGCGCGTTTTCTGCCATCCCGTTTTGTAGGTCCATGTGTTTGACAGTAGCAAGCCTCGTTTTCTTAAAAGTTAGATCAAGACAAGTACGAGAAAGGGCGTCCACCCGGTTGGCTGTAATGAGCTGAAGGACAATCACAAGCAAGGCAGTCCTTCGCTCCAGAGGAGATGTGATGCCATCAGGAATGCCTTGTATATTGATTTTACGCACAACAGACGTCCGATGTCTACACACTCAACAATTATTTTGTTAAATGCACACGTGTCACTGAGTTGTTGCAGAGTGACTGCTCCCGTGGGGTTTGGTTACAGTCATCAAGCTGAAGAACCGTAGAACTAACTTGCGCGTTACCTTCTGGGGGTAATTTAGGCAGATAGGACTGGGTATGGACAGCTTATAAGTATCACTATAGGATCACGTAACCCCAAAAAACCTGTAATACGCAAACAATGGTGATGTAGAAAGTATTTCTTTTGCATGTAGCCAAAGCATGCTTTTTTGAAATTATTTAGAAGCAGGTTAAATGAACCTATCTAAGTAGTAAACATGTAAATACCTGGATACAACAGAGACATAACAGTAATAAGGAAGCTTACATTAGTTGTTATTTTTGGTTCCTACTGAACTATGTTGTTCAAGGGAAATGCTATCTCTAGATCTGAAATGAGAAGTTTTCGTTTTAGCATCAGTCCCGTCGGTGGTTGAGGCCTAGTTTGATGATACCTTTAGCCTATCTCTATCCAGGACTGAATCCTAACCGCAGTCTGTTTACATTCTGCCACGATCAGTTAGTGCAGATCGCTGCTCCTTTACCTGACAAATAATGTTTCCTTGTCTTCTATCTCTCTCCAGACGAACCGACATGATGATGAAAGTGCACTCCTCCAATCTGGGCCTTCTGAACGACCCATCCTACGAAAAATTTGACAAATCCTTCTCCTCCGCCAGTAAGATGTCTTCCTTATTTTTAGCTCCCTGTTCGTCCCAGATTTTATTACAGTGTTCTAGCGATGTTGTTTTTTTCATCAGCCAGAAGGATATCTCAGTTGACACAGTGTGCTTCATGGGTAAGGAAGAAGGCTGGTCGAGCACCGAATCACTTTGCTTATTATCCTGAGCTTTCGAGCTCTTACAGGAGTCCATCGTCAGAGATTTGAAACAGCAAAAAAGAGGGCTTAGTTATAGTTTTTGTACACCAATCAACTGTCAAGGGCCATCAGGTCGTAAGGGGTAAGAAACAGCGATAAAAAGAGGGGGGCTGGTGGGTCAATTAACCATCAGTGATTTTAGCGTTCATCAGGACGTCAGCAACGAAAATTGGGCAACTATAGAGGATGTAGACTTAATTAACTGTGACGGAAGTCTGGCCATGACTGCACGTAATAGCTCAAGGCTCTGTACACCTGCGGTAATTCGAAAAATCGGTTGACTGAATTCCCGTCCGTGGACCAGGCTTCAATCAGTTTCCTGCACGTCTTGTTTCCGGCGTGGGCAAGTACCTTGACGGCCGCGAAGTTGAACTCATGGCCTCTTTCATAGGTGTGAGGTGCAACTTGTGATACTTCGTCGCCTCGTCGTACGGACAACTTGTGTTCATGTATGCGCGATCCGAGCATGCGTTCAGTTTGGCCTGTGTAGTTACAAGGACAGCTTAGGCATAGGATGCGAAACACTATCCCAGATTTTTCTTTCGGTGTAAGCCGGTCTTTTATTTGCATCGCCTTGTTGCGCATGGTAGCTTTGGGTTTGTGTGCGATTCCAACACCTAGTCCCACAGTGATGCCCTCAGCCGCTTCTGAGACGTCCTGTATGTATGGCAGAGCGTGCCATATTCTCAGTGGTTCTTGCGTTTGGGTCCTCCGGGGCCGAACGCATAGGGATCGGTTTATAAATGCTTTTGGATAACCGTTCCGCATAAACTGGTCGCGGAGATATCGGGC